ATATCCTCCCCCTACAAGCTCAATATATATTGTCGTTCTCTCTGTTTGTCATATTAAATAAGGAATTGTTCACATTCAACTCACAAATGCATAATTGTAGTACCAGATCTATCTGTGATCTGCATTATCCGCAAACTAGTCTCACACAATTCCAAAAAGGAATATGTTACATGGGGGTAAAGATCTTTAAACATTTGCCACCAAAAATCAAATCTATGTCTAATGACTTGAAAAATTTTTAAATTCAGTTGACAACATTTTTATTGCAAAACTCTTTTTATACATGTGATGAATTCTTTAGTAACAAATTTGCCTAGAAATAAGGATAATAACATAAACAATGTTAATATTGCATAATTTTATGTATAGTGATGTAAGACTGTAAATTTAACACATGTTTCTTTTTATACAGGTGATGAATTCTTTAGTAACAAATTTGCCTAGAAATAAGGATAATAGCATAAACAATTTTAATATTGCATAATTTTATGTATGGTGATGTAAGACTGTTTTTTATATAAATTTAACACATGTTTTTTTATCTATTTTAATGATTATAAACTGTACATATATATTTATATTTGTATTGTACTATATTAACTATGTGACTGGTTCTATATCTATGTATATGGATTTATGGAATATACAATAAATGAATGAATGCAAACTATGATGTGGGAGTGGCATTAGTATAATTTAATTTAGGAGCCACTCCATACAAAAACAACAAATACATAGTGGCAACTGAATTTTTTATCTTAATGAAATGTGGCCTGTTTATAAGCTGCCATGACCTAAGTAAAACTGCAAAATATTTTGCCCAATAACCCAGTTGTTTTGAAGACAAGGATCCTGAACCTTCTGGGATGTTGGTCATTCACTGCTTCTGTATTTGTATCTTCAAAATTAATAGGTGTACTTCTGTGAAACTTGGTCCATATGAAAGGCATAAAAGCAGCTACCTAAAGGTGTACCAATCTCTGTAGCAGCACACATTTTTCAAAAGAAGAAGAAATAAAAAAATTTTAGATCTGCATTTAAAACATACAGCTTCCACTTATGTATAACTTGTTGCACAAAGAATAACTCAATGAACATTTTAATAGTTTTATGAGATACGAGTCACTGTTTTCTTTACACGTAGCATATATTTCACATTCGTTTTTTCAATCCCACTGAGGTTCTCACAAAAGTAAGTGTGAAGAGGACTATCATTTGGGATGTAACGCCGTGAAGTCCGGTAACGTTTCACCGACGTTTCGGAGAAATGTATCGGCTTTAATCTTCAAGGCTCTGCTTGACTTACTCTTCCGCCCTGACGATCGAAGTTGTATGTTCTTCTGAAACATCAGTTCCGCTGACTACACGGCATTACATCCCACAATATAGTACTCTTGAAATCATATATCCTCGAAGACCACCCGTCTCAGGGACAACAGACTTGGAGTAACTCTTTTCGCATGCTTCCAATAGTTCATTTATAATCCTATTTATATTCCAAGAACAGTACATATATTTTATCTGATATATTAGTTAATTACGAAGTTACCTCATTAAATATTCTCGAAACTCTTTGCTTCGGAGTTGCTCAATTCCTTGCTTAAATAATTTCTTTCCTACAGCAGACATTTCAATGTGTATTAATTAGACAGATTATGTAAATATACTAATTTAAACGTCTTTCAACGACTGACTGCAGTTCCACTTTAAAATGTTAGGAATTTCACAACCGGCGACCCTTCATATGCTCCAGTATAAAAATCTATATAGACCACTACAGACTATAGTCAAATAAATCACCAATATGTATTCAACTGGAATCGAACAGCAATCGAGCGGATCCGAGTGAGAATGCAAACAATTCGCCTATAATTGGTTGAGCAGAACCAGTCTGCACTGCACTGCACTGCTGCCACCTATAGTGAAATAGTCTTTGACTTCCCGACGACGGTGACTATTTTTTAACTATGAACGACCATGAAGGTGACCAATGGTGACCAAGGTGACGGTTTGGTCAGTTTCACTCCCAGGGCTCCAGGAGTCGTGAGACTCGGGACCCGGTACTAAGTCGAAGACAGCAGCAATTTACCCTAGCAAACGAAGGTGACTATGAAGAGCCATGATGAAGAATACCATCTTCTGGGATGTGATTAATTATAGTCTGGTAGAAGCAGAAGACCACCGACGTTTCGGAGTGTACTGCTTGACGCTGAAGATAGAAGCTGTACGTTCTTTCCTCATGAACTTCTACCGTATAACACGGCATTACATCCTTGCAGATGATACCACGGATCACTAGGGATGGTACTGAAGTACGCCAAGCAAAGCAAGTCAGTTTACGTCAACGTGGTACCAAGCTGCCATAAATGCCTATCAGCACTGGTACGACCGGTATGACTGCTCCTCTTCAATACGGCGACGCATCCATGTGCACCAACAGCCACAATTTGATGGATTTCAAGTATGTGTCTTTCTTAGCATTTCGGCCGCCTGCAAGGAAATGTACACAAGCCAACGCATGCGACGTTCACAGAGTGACTTTACTAGCTTGGAACCTTGCAGTGAAAACCAAAATGTGAAGAATTCTATTTGTTTTGTTCTTTGGATTTGCACATCGGGTCCCCGGGACCTACAGCTGTAGCTCGGACACTCCCGGTTGCGTGCCAACTAGTGGGGGAAATTATGATGAATACGACGATCCGTGGTCTTTGAGCGAGGGCGCACCAAGGCAACTGGCAACCGGTGTGTCCCCACCCTTTTATACAACCGTGGTCATCCAAGTAGTGGCTAGTCACTACTCTTCCTGAGGTAACTTGGTTTATCTGTCAGTATGGTCAGTATCAAATCCCTAGTGTTCAGGCATTCACTGTATTGATCGGTACTGATCAAGTTACCCGGATCACCACTTTTAAAGGAATATCGGTCGTCTAGCCAGCAGCCAGTAACTATTATCACTGAGCTATCCCTACACCCTTCTTATAGTCGAGCCTCGGTCAATCAGCCCATAACCAGTTAATACTCGTATATTGACTGAATACTATATTTCAGCATTCTGTTGTATTGATGCATCACTCGCCCACTTGCTTCCGTCTCTAATGCAACATAAACTTTTATGTCAAAATGTCATTACAATCACATTTAAATTTCCTAAAATGTCATTAAAATCATACTTTAATTTACTGTTGCGACATGTTTCGGCCCCCTTAGCCCATCCGCAGGCGACTGTTAATCGATTGAAACCGCCTGTACAGCGTGTAACTGGCTCTTCAGCTCAGTAAAGCAAATGCATTTTGAACTTGAAGAAAGCAGTCTTCTGGGATTTTGCACCGTGTATATGTGGTGTTAAACGACGTTTCGGAGGAACGTATCGCCTCCATCTTCAGGGTAGAAGAAAAAATATATAAGAAATCTGCAAGCAAAGAGACCGTGAGAAGTCTCTTTGCTTGCAGATTTCTTATATATTTTTTCTTCTACCCTGAAGATGGAGGCGATACGTTCCTCCGAAACGTCGTTTAACACCACATATACACGGTGCAAAATCCCAGAAGACTGCTTTCTTCATAGTCACCGCCGTGAAAGCCTCAAATCTTACGCATTTTGAACTACTGTGAGGGTTCACATGTTTTCTCTGTGCAAGTTACACAATGGCAAAAACCCAATTTTACCAACTGCGTTATTATATTCGTCATGTAACTAAATGTGGTTAAGATATCTTATATAACATTTTATTTTCTTTGGGGTTGTCTTCTTGGCAAGGTACGGAATATATTACTAAAATTATACCCGTCAGTGAAAAGATGTCAGAATTAAAGCCGCACGTAAGACATCAGTGTACCGTTAGAAATCGGGTTCATCGGACCGCATCGGACTATATTAGTTCATCCATCGTTCCTCGAATGTTACATAAATCGATACTAGAGTCGATTTCGTGTAGATTGGAACGATTTGGCGCCATTTGCTATAAAGTTTAAGAACTTTGAGGTGTTTAACGCCTTTAAGGTTTAAGAACAAAAATCCTGGCCCAATTCGGCCCATTTAATGGTCATTACCTGTAGAGCGCAGGTGGATGGATGGAATAGTGGTTGTTATCTGAGGATCTGAATTCGCAGATTAGAGGTAAGTGATGTTTTTATTTGATTTTGGCATATAACTCTGAAGTTTGTAAATGTGTGTGGTGGAAAGGGTGTGGAGAAACACAATTTAGAATAGTTGTAGGTACACAAGAACGCACAAGAAGTTGGAAGTGCTATTTTTTAATTTTTTTTTTAATTTGGTTTAGGGAAGCAGACATATAAGCTGTTCCAAGGAATTGTTAAGCATATTCTCCTGTTATTTTCTGCAAAAAACAAACAAACAAAACATGTATGTTGGCTTGCATTTCTATTGAATAATTTAGCAATACACATTTTTGTAAAACAAAAGAATTGTATTGGAAACTTTAAAATAGGCACAGCTTTGAGTGCTGTTGAATTGTTGAGCAAATAGTATCAACTAGCTGTACTTGCTGTAATGTATGCAGTTCAAGCAAATCTTGAAGGTTATTGTCAGCATATTTTGTTTATTCACTCATATATTCCATTTGATGCATTTGTCTCTGTGACTCACCAAGTGGGCTAACTAGTTGCAGTTGTTGCATTACTTCGGCCATAACCCTTGGTTTGATTGGCTTTCAAGTCATTTTGTGGTTGCTTCAACATGATTGAAAAGAAAAAGTTGTCCGTATCCTGGCTTATTGGCCTCATTTGCATATACCAACCAAATGGCAAACTTGAATGTGTCTCTGGAAACAGTATGGACCATTCCAAGGTGGCAATTTATCTCTGTCCCTGTTGATGTGAATGCCATTGCTGAGTTGAACTTTCATATATTTTATCTGTAGTCATTTGCTTCATGTGTATCCACTGTAATCAGCTGTCATGAAGAACGAGGTAGTTGTTTCTCCATCAGCTTTCCTGCAAACTTGTTCTTACTGACAAGGAGCAGAAACATACATAAGCATTTTATATACATTGTTTGTCTGAACATTAGGCCACTTCATTTGTTGAGTGGTTCATCAAAATCGTGCTTCACCTGATGATGGGGTTTCAGGTTTCTGTATAACAATTCAGTCTTGGGTTAATTGTTCCTGCCATGATCTTCGCAAGGTCCTTGTTAATGAAACTAGATGGTAGCTAGGCAACTTCTGGAAAAGATCCATGGAGCCAATATAATGCTCAAGCACTATTGTCACATACTGGCTGCAAATGTTAGTCTACCAAAAAGGAATGTGCAGTGCTATTCAGCAACCACAAACAAGAAATAAAGTGTTTATCTCGCAGCAGTAAACAGTTCAAAATAATACAAGTATCATATTTTGAACATTATCCATCATCTTGTCTGTATTTAAAGACCGTCCTGTTTATTTTTCAAAACACAACATTTCGGAGACTGAATTATGTCTCTGTCCTCAGTAAAACCTACTCAGTTAGGCCCAGTAGATAGAGCTAGTCCCTGGAGACAAGGACTAGCTCTATCTGTTGGGCCCAACTGAGTTGGTTTTACCCAAGGACAGAGACAGAATCTAGTCTCTGAAACGTTGTGTTTTGAAAAATAAACCGGACGGTTTTAAATATGGACAAGACGATGGATAATGTAAAAAAAAAAACAAAAAACAAATGATACTTGTTGCAATGAACCATCGTCACAAACTTTTAGATCTTAGTTCAAAATAATATTGAAATAATTTCTATATTTCATGTTTTTAATTTCTAGATGAATTTGTATTACCAAGGTATGTTTGACTGACTGTAGTCATGTGTGTATCTGTAAATTTTGAATATCTGTATTTGTATATATTGATTGTAATCAAGTGGCTGGTTTCAGTATATAATTTGTATGGATATGTGAGACTGCTGTGTTGCTGTTAATACTGATGTTATATAGTCTCGACGTTGAAAACATCATTCAAATACTCCATGAAAAATACTGTTAGTAGTGTGATGGTGTACGTGATTTAATATGTTGTGATAGTTTGTGCATGGGAATGCTATATTGTGTTTCTAAATGTGATATATTGTACTCTCACTTGTCCCATGCTGTGCTGTCTAGGATTTATGGAATATATCTAGCTAGCTCTCTCTCTCTGTGCATCTTTGTATCAGTTTACTGGCTGGTTTCATAGGTTTCATTGTATGATTAATAAGTGCTTTCTTCTGCACTGTCAGAATCAGTGTTTTCCAAATTTAATTTAATATTTGGAGACATTTGTTAACATGCTGCCAAGCCTAGATGGGGGTTGATACATAAATGGGACACCTGCATCAGTTCCCATGGAGACAATTTTTAACAGCCTCCCTTCCTTCACCCATTGAAAATCCTGAATAGGTTTCTTTTGAACAACCCTCATACAACATGACCTTGTTTTCTGACATTTTTTTTTCAAAAATGTAAATTCCAACCACGTGCTTGTATTGTGNGGGGGGGGGGGGAAGGTAGGCAACATTGAAGTAAGGGACTGCCTGACTGTAACTATGAAAAGACTGTATAATAGGATTCACATCTCTTGATGTTTGAAGCATGGCCACTGATATCAGTGCTGCAAGTTCAGAAGTAAAATTTCATGTCAGCTCAGACAAACTTCTCATGAACTCACATGAAACATGCACTTAAGTGAAGGGTCATATTTTTCTGATTGTGTAGGAGCAAACCCCATGTTTCTATCCCAAGTGGTTAACATTTCATGCTTTACATTTATTATCATTGTTTACATTCCCTATAGAATGGACAATACTTTGTAAGATGAGGCACTGACTAAATATGAATTAACATTAATATTATATTTAATATTTAATAAGAAATGTAAATGATTATACCATGGCAGATTTTAGAATGAAACTAAGTTATGAGAATTGGGAAT